AGTAACCTGCCATGAAAATTATAGAAGGCAGAAAACAAAACGTTAAACATTGTGATTTCAACTACAGCCATAGCTTAACTGGGTTCTATGCCGATTTGCGCTCCCCAGATCAACCCCGCTGACGGGTGATTGCTGTGGCAAAAAGATCGATAGAAATAGCTGAGAGACGTGCGAAACAAAGGACCCGCATGGTGTGGTGGTGAACGCGTTACTCCCCGGAAAGGATAATAGCGCGTTCGTTCCCCACCATAGACACCTGCGGTCCAGAGTTTTGCAAATATCTCAGCAACGTTGTGGTTGTATTCCGCTTAGTAACCTGCCATGAAAATTATAGAAGGCAGAAAACAAAAACGTTAAACAAGGAATATATAATTAATGCGCCTAAAAGGTACCTGACAAGATGCTAAAAGTAACAGGAAAAAGTCAACTACGAGATTTTCCGCAGGCCAATTGATAGAATAGTTCGATAGCCCAATCCATATATCGAAATTTACATTCTTCGTTGAACTACTTGGTTCACCGAATACATGGTCCCATGGATAAGCTGAAGAAAATCATAAAATTGTTATAAACAAAGAAAAATACAGTGAAAAAAAGACTGAATAACTAGCCTAAGCAACTGTCCTCAGGAAGTCCTACGTAAATGACATACTGTAGCGGAAAAAGTACAGCAAGATACGTCACAAAAATATACCAAAGCTTGCGAGAAACAGATCTGTAAGTGAAAACTATTCGACACTACGGTAATGGTACACACGTTTATCGTTCGGAGTCTGACCTTTTGTTCAGTGCAAAGAGTCCTATCCAAATACACATCACAGTAGCCAGCATATCCATGCGCACCCATGCATTTATAGCCATCATAATCATACATAACTAAATCGTCATTACATCAAGTGGTTCACATTTCAGCAATAGCGTTAAAACTGTTGGAAAAGATGTTTGATGAGATAATATGCTTGGAAACATTTTGTACGAAGGTCAATCGATGTGCAGGAGGCGTTAATGATTGTATTAATCCGGATGTCAAATATACTGCAGGAAGACCATCGACCCAATGGTCTCAGTTCTTAACGAAAACCCTGGAAGAAAGGCATGGTGTTCAACGAATTTCTAAAGCGAGTAGAACCCACTGGGCTACACTTGCAAATGACAAGGAAAAATGGAAGATTGACTGGCGCCCGCTTGAGTAACTCATGAGGACGACAAATGATTACCGGTCATATCTCAGTATCAAAACCAACGCGTTCAAAACTTCTCTGATATTCATAAACAAAAGGAAAATCAACAACAGAAAGATGACCAACTTCGAAACCAAATTTATAGAACCCAAAATCAACAAGGAATTGCATGGCATGTACCAAATCAAGATCGAAATCGTCCATGTTCAATAAGGGAAACACACGTTTCTGAAACCAACACCACACCAATGACGAAGAATTGATAGCTCAAAAATAGTTAATGATTGAAACATATTGTAATAGAAAAAGAACTTAAAAGATTGATCTCATATCCAACTTCTAACTTTCTTTCCTCATTTCTCTAATAATGTGAAAACATTTTTATTCGATAAGGCTAACGTTCTAATCCTTTCAAAAAAAAAAAAGAAAAAGAAAAACCGGAAAAAGGAACACGGATTTGAGGCTGGGAAAACATCCTCGGCCAGAATCACGTGAATTATGGATCGGAGACTAATGTCAGTTATTTAATGGAGAAAAAAAGCAGCTGTTATTTAAGTTGTTCCTTATTTACTCATATAAAGCCTGTAAAATGGAACTCTAACTTTTCAACACATTAACGACAATGTACAATGTTTCTAATGCGCCTGGCGAAAAAACAACGACCGCTTTCATAGGTAAAACAACTGCCTAATCTCATTGAGATCTTATTACATACAATGGAAACCTTCAGTATGTACACACCTTCACCAACAAGATTCAGCTTTTGTAACTGTACCAAAATTAAAGTGCATCTCTCTGGAATCCGCGAAACATACCACTCTCATCTTTTTGCGAGTTACGATTTTTATTTCGAATACGAAACGAACTGAACAAGCGGGATTTGTCTAATGGGACAACAACTTAGAAATCTGTATACTGCTACCAAATTTTGAAGGCTTTATTCTGGACGGATAAAAATTGGAAGAATACTTTATCAAGCTTGTATACAACTGCTAAAGTAGCATTAGATAATTGTACATAACCGATACGAGTATGCCCCCTCTGTCTGTGAAGGCCTCAATTTCTTCACTATTCCATTAATAACAAAACTACTGCCTTTTGCCTATGAAATAGTTTCATCGCAAATATGTTAGACACTAATTATTAATAATATAAACATAGCTCCTTAACAGGTATGAGAAGTTACTAAACGTGATGTAGTACCACGTGGTAAAATCTCATAGTCTTAAGTTCTACACTAAGACTATTGATGAAATTAGTGATAAGATGATGATAGGAAACTAAACGAAGAAAGCGATAAAAAAGAAAAGCTACCGAAGAGGATTCTGGTAATCCTCGCATTTGTCTGCTATGTCGCTGTCTGTAAACAACTACAGATTGAAGTGCAAGAGCGATTATGGCAACAACCATTCCCTAAAAACAGCTGTAAAATATACAGCATCCTCAGTAACATGCAGTACCTTAAGAATAATTTCATATGAAAACGCAGGCAAAACAAAAACAGAGCAACAACGTAATCGCAATGGAAAGCATGCTCACGCCTAATAATTGCCAAGTGTTCGATTCCTTTGCTATACCTATCCATTCCGGAAATGTTCGCGTTGCATTGCACGACTCACCGCTATTCACAAAACTCAGGTCAGGAAAGTGGCTTAACTAAATCAAAAGTAATAAGTAATATGTTTAAAAATTCAAAAACTTTAGTAAGAGATGACGATCGAAGTAAGTTCACCTGATAAATCATTTTTATAGTCGCAACAACACAGAGAAACACGCACATTAACAAACTTAACATATCCGATAATGCAGAAGGTAGCACTACTGCCAGACTAACCGCAATTACTAGGGGGACATATAGAGCACATATCTGAAAAAAAAACCTAACTACATAGCTAACTATACGCAAAATTGCGGAAAAGTAAAGGGAAATATTGATGTAATTTTGCTCACTGTCAAAGAAAGAAAAAGGCTAGAGCTCTACGCGGTGTTGACAAATGCCTGAGGAGGACGCCGTGCAATCCACTTGATCAAGCTTTGTTAGAGTTAACTGAATGCATATCTGGACTGAGTTGAGTTACGATGGGCCGCCGATGTGTAGAGTGATTGTTGCAATCCTCCAAGACAAATCTGCTACCAATTTGCCGCCCTCGAAAAGATAGAAGGCTTGGTGAGCAAAATGAGCACAGCTGAACATCTAAGGAGCGGGATCAAGCCCGTGTGTATTGAAGGGACCTCTAACCACTGTGCTACACGCTTAAAAAAACTATCAAAGAGAAAATAATCTCTTTCGTGACAAAGAAAGGTAAATTCGGGAAAACCATAAACATTTTATTGAATTCATTCCTAGAGAACCTATGGGTGCAAACTCTCTATTTTTTTAACAATGCGTTCATGAAGTTTTGAAAACTGATTGGCTACAACCACAAAGATGCTAAGGTATGAGCAAATCTTGAAACCTCAATTGAGCTTTGGGCACGTGATTACCCTTTCCGAGGGCTCGTGTACTATCCACAACATCAGCAAAAAACCATGCTTTGCCTTTCTCTCAGCCAGTTTTCATTCTAACGGTGCTATCAACAACCACCCGTCAACGGAAATGATCTGGAGAGCAAAAATCGGCATTGAATCCAGTTAAGCTGAAGTTAGGCGCTTGTATCACAGTGGTTAGAGGTGCCGTGCACACATGGGTTCGATCACACGCTACCTGCTCGCCGACCCTTCCATCGCTCCGGGGTCGAAAAATTGCTAGCAAACCTGTCTGGGAGGATAGTAGAAGTGACTCGATGCGTCGACAAGTCACTGAGAGTCAACGTATAAGCCAGATGTTCATTCAATCACCTCTAACTATGCTTGACGAAGTTGAATTCACGGTGCGTCTCCCAGGGATTGATCAACGCCGAGAGCTTGGTCCTTTACGCTTTTAAGCTGAAGCTGTAGTCGAAATCACAAAGTTGAACTTCTACTTGGGTTTAGAGCTGATTTTCACTCCCCAGATCATTTTCGCTGACGGATGTTTACCGATAACACCGTCCACTTGCATCACCTGTCGTTCCCTTGATCGCTGACTCGAGCGGACGCCAGTGAACCATCCACTTGTCCCTGCTGCGTGCAAGATTAGTCGAGTACGTACTGCTCGCTCTAGAACTCCTTTAGCACCACATCATTCTTATTGGATTTCCATGAAGAACTCTAGCCATACGGTCGGTTGTCTTCTTCTTATGTGTATGAGAGCCCGAGGAACCCGGTCTCTAACAGCTCCTGTTCATCGATTGTCGTCTAAACGCATTACGTGCGTGGCCCACATTAGCTTCGAAGATTTGGCGTATAGAACGGAGTCTTCGATCCCGTCTTTCAGATACGTGATAGGGCACACTCCTAGCATCGTCTTTTCGACTGTGCAATCTATCGTGCTGCAACTGCGTTTGAACCTCGTTGCAGAAGAAAATGGCTGGGGGAAATGCAAAGTAAGGGTCTCGGTTGATGTGGTAGACAGCACGCGAGCACATGTAAACGGTAATGGCGGGTTCGAAGCACAACAGAGCTTCTGCGCTTTGCTCATACCTCAGCATAATTGTGGTTGAATTTCACATGATATCGTGCCAGAATAGAAAAAATAGGCCGTAAATAAAAGTTAAACGTTGTAATTAGCTTGCAAAACTCCGGACAGCTGGTGTCTGCGGTTGGTACCAACTGCCTATTACCCCTTCCAGAGACTAACGCGTTCACCGCCACATCATGCGAGTCCTTCATTTCGCCTTTCTCTCTGCCATATTATTGACCTATTGGCGACATTATGATTTATACCACAACTTCAGCTTAACTGGGTTCAGTGCCGATTTGTGCTCACCAGATCAATCCCAGTTGCTATATGGTGATTGCTGATAGCACCTATAAGTCAATAATACGTCTAAGAGAAAAATGAAGCGAAGGACTCGCATGGCATGGCGGTGAACTCGTTAGCTCCCGGGAAAGGGTAATAGCGCACTCAGTCCCCATTGCAGAAACCAGCAGCCCTGAGTTTTGTAAATATCTTAGCATCATTATGGCTATATTTCACATAATACAGTACCATTTAAAAAATAATAATAAGCAGTAAATGAAAACTGACGACAATGTAATTAGTGAGACTATAGTGGTATTCAGTGAGCGGGTGGGCAGTGGGAGGAGACACCAATGCGACACACTGGTGGAATCGAGCCCCACGCCCATGGCTCACCAAGCCTTCATCCCTCCGGGGCCGACAAATTGGTACCAGACTTGTCTGGGAGGATAGCAGCACTAGCTCGATACATCGGTAGGCCATCGCGAGTCATTGCAAAGGCCAGGTATGCATTTAATCACCTCTGACGATACCTAATGAAGTCGAATACATAGCGCATCCCTCAGGAATTGATCAACGCCGAGAGATTTATCCTTTATAGTGGTACTCATACACAATTACTCGTATCCAAATGCTTTTCACCGTCCACGCAGCCAAAATATACATGAAAGTCAAAGAATTAGTCTTAAAAGCTAAAACTCTAAAGGATCTTAAAAATGGCATGTAAAAATAAACTCACATTATTTGCAGCAAATACTGTAACAATAATAAATACAATTTTTGTTATATGAATCTCCGTTATTCGCCAAATCAATTCGACTGCTCGATTTACAAAATTGCCTATCCGCGCTGATATAGAAGGCTCTGAAAAAAACAGTTGGGAAACGATGAATAAATAATGAAAAATATTTTGGAAAACATAACATTTTGTTTGAAACTAGTAGTACCCTAGTCATCACACATATATCTTCTGTATGACTCACCAGTGCCCAAACTGAATTGATTACTTCACATAAAATACATACACATACAATAATATTCACTAATTATGGTAACCTAACAGAACTAGTCAAGCACTAAATTATACCTGTTCCATTAAATATAATATAAATGTAATACTGTAATATAAAGGAATACGGTAGAAACTGTAGATCTACTGCATAAACAAATATTCGGGAGAAAAAATCATTCGAAAAAGAAATTCACCTCTTCTTTCATTTATTGACATAAATTACATTCGTTGCTTGGGGATAAAGGCCTGTGGTTATCGTTCACATTGCAAAGGATTCCAAACAACTTGTCAAGTCTACACAGCTGCATACCAACACACTAGTGGGAAAATTCAATGGATTTCATTGATTGTTCCACTTCATACATTTCAGCCTACATTCGTTGAAATCATATACTTTTTCGAAAAATTTCCTGATGTGATATGTGAAAAGAAAGAGCCTATGTGACCACCCTTTTTTCTTTCAGAACTAGACTGTAACTTCTTAACAGAAACACCCCCTCCCCCCTCTCCATCCCATAAACTTAAAAATTATCCTCTCGTATTGATGTGTTAATATATTTATACATGATTCTTTTACTGTGGTGTGGCTAACGTCTTAGCGCCTTCGCCTTCCAGCAGAACCTCACTGAATCGAATCGAATTTCCACAGTTATTGCTCACAAGTTACTGCTTGCAATATGTAAGTTTTTGCAGTCATTCTAAGTCAAAACGAGCGGAATGGAATGCCGTACGAACTGTTAGGAAAACCTTGACTTATCAATATGAAAAAATATTGTTTGATGAAACCGAGGCTAAATGAAGGACACTTTTCAAAAGTATGACTTCGAAATATTTCTATTTCATAAACACTTTCCAATCATAGCAAAACGGATTGAGGTCTTCAACAGGCAGTCCTTCCGTCTATCAGTACAGCTTTCTGTCTACGTTACGATATCAGTGAACATCTAATGCATTGAAGTTATTTTAACACCTTCGAACCATCTAAGCAAAGCCGAAGACTTCTTCATATCGCACTGTCAACAACTTACCCCATAGTTTCCGCCGCCTCTCACTTTTTACATACGGTCTCGCTGTGATAATTGGCGTTGTCATATCATCCTGGTCAATGTATGGAAAACTGTCGATTTCTGAATTTATCCAGCTCACAACCGACGATCTCATCCCGAATGGTGCCGTCTTTTTTCTTTTAACCACCACTTTTGGCGTTCGTGTTTTTCTTCTTTCAACAAACGACATCCACCGATTAAAATAGAAGTCGAGAATATGAACAAGTTCAGCGTACATGATTAGAACAAATGAATGCGCAGAAGACGACACGGTAGTAAAATTGGGTCAGATTTGTAACTGAATCATGTAGAGGACATGTATGCGTCGAGTATTTCTCGTCGATAAATAATGCCTTTACACCACATTACAGTGGAACTGCGTGCATAACACCTATGCATCTTATCTCAAACAACGGCGAAATCACCCAATTGTAAGCAGATGCTGCGGCCTGCTTTAGGGTTAAATCCAACGCGATTAGGAGAAAAAATAGTCTTATTATTCTACAATCCATCATTCCCGCATATGTGTTCATTGACAACATATGAAAGTTCCACATCACAATCAACTCTTGCAAAGCACCTAGCCTTAGTGTTTGCAAAACATAGTTTCCGTCTATTTCTTATCCCTACAAAAACTCGCTTTCTTTTTTGTAAACAAAGGGAATGCAAATTTTCTGGTGTTGAACTCATTTTCAGACAAAACAAGGTTTAAAAGAGGCAGAAAGTGCTTCATAACGCTAAGACCTTGGTGATTTCCAGCGTGACATCAACCTGATAGGTTGTTCGAAAACTCATGTCAGATTTGTAGTCTATGGGAAATGCTTCAAAACCAAGCCAGAAAATAAGTACATTCAGGAAATCGATGGAACGCACTAGACACTTCAACGGATACGTCCCGCATTGGTCAAAACAGAGAGAACAGTCCTTCCCAACAATGAAGTGAGATTACATGTCGCAGTACCGATGCTGAAAAAGTTGAACCATCTGGGCCACGAAACTCAGCGTATCTACCATACCCGCTAGAATCTTCGCTTAGCGACTACCACTTCTTTAAGCATCGCGAGAACTTCTAGTGCTAGAAATGATTCAAAAACCAAGCCAAGGCGGAAACTGTCTTTAACGACTTCATCTCCTCCAGAAGTCCAGAATTTTGAGCAACCGGCATAAGTACTGTTTCTCGCTGGTAAAAATGTATATGTTCTAACAGCTTTCATTTAGGTTAAGAAAGTTTATTGTGAGCTAAGATGTGCCAATAACCAACACTGATTTTCGAACAACCAAATAATAATGTCCTTTAACAATTGCGATCCCTTCAATAACCTATCGCCTTATCGTCGTTGGGAGCGCCCTACGATGTCAAAGTGCGATATATACCAAGGATTAAGCTACTCCTTCTATTCTATTCGGAAAGTTAAAGGTGAGCCTATGCAGCAACAAAACCAGCGCAGATACCCCTAAGTGCACGAATTATTTAGTGACCTAGTGATAAAAGAATTATAGGTAATAAGCGAATATCGGGATGCAGTAACATTAGTACCAAGAAAACGCCTGTTCAAAATCGAAACCGTCTTTAAAGAAGTGGCAGAGCAGAAAAGGAAACACAATGTGGACCCCAATGTATGTTTTTAATAAGAATTCATGTTTAGGAAAGAAGGTAAACAAGGTGCGGAGAAACAAGAAAATCTGGAAGATATTCTGAATGAAACAATATGCCCAATAAAACTCTCGGAGATAAGTATGTAATGTGCTCAAACTGGCCAAAATACAGAATCGAACCGAACGATAGCTGACGATCAAAGTGGGAACGGATGACACACACACACACACGCACACACACCGAAGCGAACTTATACAGATCGATTGCCAGTGATAAAAAGACTACCATAAAACAAGAATTACCTAAAACTGGCTGAAGACTGAATATACGAAAAGTAAGAAATTACTTCTACGGCTCCTTTATGAACATTCTAGAGCACCAATGGAAAAGAAAACGATCGCATAAACGAGCAAATTTTCTCCAAGTGATAAATATGGTACATTCTCAAAGAAGATCACACTTAGCCGATAATTTAGTTATGATCATGGAAACTGTACTGATAAATTTTGACGGGTGATTTCTGACGGCAGAGATGGACAAAACTAGCTGAGAGACAAGCGAAGCGAAGGACCCGCATAGTGTGGTGGTGAACGCGTTACTCCCCGGAAAGGACAATAGCGCGTTCGTTCCCCACCGCAGACATCTGCGGTCAGGAGTTTTGCAAATATCTCAGCATTATAGCAGTTATATTTTGCAAACCGTTAAAAAGAATAGGCAGTAAATAAAAATGGTTAAGATTGTACTGATAAAGTTTGTAAGACCGATGAATAAGTGCAATGACCTGACACAGACACAGTTATCGCCCATGTATTACTCTGTGCGGCTGCTATCCACCAACTAACTTAAATACTTACAACTAATAAACGGTAGGTGTTTAAATGAAGCTGTTTCTTATGCGAATACAAATTTATTTGTTAAGTTTTATCTACTGGTGTTATGAAAGTGTTTGGCTGGGTAGATCGCATCTCAATTTAACCCTTCCAGGCTCTGAAGAAGGCGAAACCGCCGAAACGTCAGCTATTGTATCCTAATAAATCCTATAATAACAACCTCGTGTCTGGTTATTGAAGAAAAACATTAAATTATCAATCAATGCCGAGGTTAACATAAAGTCGGTATTGGGAATAAGTGCTCAGTTGTAAAAATTGGAATTATCATGAGAAATTCGATCTAAAACAAAGCCTAAAAATAAGTATCGTCTGAGAAAGATCGGCTACGTGTAGAGAAAAGCGCATGTGGATACACGATGGCACTGATGTGACCGCACAAGGGTTCATAAACTTTCAATTTCAACATAAAAGTGAAGAAAAAAGGATCGCGTAAGCAGAGATTCTGTTAAGGCTTTTTTAAGACATTTCTGCTCTGAATTAAGAACAAACAGATTTTTTGTTAGAAAAAAAGCATGGGAGAGAAAAATGGAACTGACACTCATCAGCACAACAAAAATTTATTACTAATTGAGCTACAAAGTAAGATCCTTTAACCTTAAAATGAACTGGAAATGCCCGAAAAGTAAGTTAAAGTAGTTTTAGCGTAAACTTTTCGCTATCGCCGTACTGACTTTGGTGACTAAGAATATCAATGAACTTCGCACATATGGAGTACTTTAGAACGGAGTGTTTCTATCGATCCGGATCCATATTTCAACGATAAGAGTACAACACCAATTACTTAGCATTTTCAACTGTTCCATTTCCTCTTACAATAACTGCAATACTATCGCTAGCATCACTACACAACAAGTACTATCTGTACGTGAACGAGGTGAAAACCGTACAACAGCATCACTTCTGTTATTTGCAGACGGCAGCCGAAAAATGTGACTCATACCGTCCAATGTTACAAAGAATCCCACCAAAAACTAGCAATTAGACTGTTTCAAAAGTAAGTGCCTTAGCATGGCAAACAACATATGTTGTTCTCCTTCAAATCCCCATGAATGATGAAATGCAAGGAGTGATAAAAATGTCTGGCATTATTCGGCGTAAGATGTGATAGAACGACTTGAATCATAAATCCTGCCTTACATTCTAAACACTGCACAGGAAGGAGACAGAAAGGGAGCGGGAGCGAGAGAAAGAATGGGAAAGAAAGAGAATAAATAAGTAGAAACTACGCCCTTCACTATGACCTCAACAATAAACAGCACAGCAAAACTATGAAGAAGAAATGTGATATCCCACAGACTGCATCACGGCGACCGCCAAAAATGAATACCTCGAGGATAACTGCATAAAGAAAAACCTTTGCTGTTCCTTAGAGCAGCGCAGTTCTTGCGCTGTTTTTATGCTATGCCTTGCCTTTTATGCCTTTCATGTACTGCAGAATTCCCACACATAAAACCATAGAAACTGATGAACTGATTTAACGGATGCACAATAAAACCACAACTACCGTATGGTGCCGGAATTATGAAGAGTAATACCTTTCATTTCCTAAGTGTTAATGAAAATTAGGTAGTTAAATAAATAACCAAACGCATTCATACATGAATACTTAAGATCACCTGAAGGCTTTCGAAGAACACAAACAGAGTTGTGCAATTATATCGCTAGCAGATGAGTCAACTTAAAGCAATACCGGAATCCACCACCGCGCTGATATCAAACTAGTCGCGTGGTGGCAAAACTCCCTCTGATCCACAAGAGCGGGGCCACTTGTGGTGGCAACGACCTGGAGCAGACTTTGGTCAGGCTAACCTCGGGACGCAATGGCTAAACCAGCAAAACTCCGAAAAAATGGAGATTACGCTAGCGCCCGCAGAACCAGTGAAGACGGGTCGTCCATGTGTCCAGTATCCAAGAACCCAAGTAGATAAGTCCGTGGAACAGGCAATACGGTGAAAATATAAGCAAGAAAGGTATTATAAAACATTTTGTGAGATTCCCATAAACATTTTTTATGCAAAGAGACGGCCATAATTCATTTTTTGTGACTAATATGACAAAAAAGATATAAGACAGATTCACATTCCTTTAAAAACACCATACTTAATAATGAACTGAAATCCGTAATCACCAGCAACTGAACGTTACCTCTGTCAACAAGCACTTCACCTCGATCTTCTGAAGTCCGTGTCATCATTGCCATCCATGGATCATGGAAGAATTTCAGTTGAAGCATGGCAACAACAAACAACGAGATCGGCGTAAATAATCGTGCAAACAATGCCCTTAAAGTATGACATTTTCAATACTGTTAACACACACGCAACCAAGCTTGATTTTCTTTGACAGCCTCTTGTCACCACAAATAATTTCTGGAGTGCACAGTATTCATCGATAAATTTGTCCGACGAGAAATGGTTTTTCGCTAGTTGCTAATTGCCGAGAATAGCCTTTTAAGAACTACTCCTGGCATGACATTCAGCTCTATAAGCCATCGATAAGCACAGGAAGAAAAAATTTGCAACAAAAAAGTTGACATGAATACGCATTGAGATCAATGCAGACGATCCACTCTGCCAACGAAAGCAAACACTGACAGCAATACACGTGGTCACCGCTATATTAACATCCTAAACAGCTTTCTTGGAAGAGATTTATAACCATCTATCCACCTGCTGGCAGCGCGTTTTCAATTACTATAGCTGCTCAGTTATTAAATTATAAGATGACTAAGATATTGAACGATTTGCTGCGTACGAATAAACTATGTAAAGAACAAGAAATACCCCGATTCGCCAACGTCGCTGTAGTTAATCAAACCAATATCGTCATTCCACTTCTTGTCCAAACCCGTCCACCTGGTCCAGACCTCAGGAAACTGAAACTTTGTATTCTACAAGCTATTTTGACAACAAAAGTATTGCCTCAGCAACTTGAGCTCAATTCGATGGGTCTATAAATAAGACTATTAGAATAAAAAAAGAAATATAACAAAAACCACCACTTTGCAAGATAAAGACACCACTTCACTAATTATAAGCAAGCCTATGCTCCAAATGGGACAATTTCATGGAACAGACTTCTACAATCGACCTTCTTCGTAATTGCATATATTAACCCTTAATTCTCAAATTTTTCTACTAATCTATAACAACTGTACTCATGTTTTTCTTGATGAGCTAATACAAAGCCAGAATAACAACATTTATTAATACAGAATAGCCGACGTTTTGGCGGTTTCGCCTTCTTCAGAGCCCCGAAGGTTCAAACTGACGTGCAATCTACTCAGCCAAACACTTTCATAATCTCATCAGACAAAACACTACACATAAATTTCCATTCACATAAGAAACAGCTTCTTTTGAACACCCACTGTTTCGCTCTTTGTGAGTATTCCAGCAATTTGGTGGACACCAACCGCAAAAATGTTTCAGTGTCCTATGCGCGGTTAGTGGAGTGTTTGGTTTCGATACAAATGTACCCACCAGGTGTTCTCTTATACGAATACAGAGTGGTCTACCCGTTTAGCCTACGTATTCGTGCTCACACGCGTTACAAGATATTGGCTACACCGCATCCCAGCTCGTGCATTCAGGCTGATTCTCTGACATGAGTCAAGCACATTCCTCACCCATGTGGTAATTTAGGCGCCTCGTCTCCACCAAATATCTACAGACTTATAAAGTATAACACGATGGGTGTTTCAAAAAAAACTGTCTATTATGCGAATGGGTACTGATGTGTTAAGCTTTGTCTACCGAAGTTATGAAAGTGTTTGTTTGAGTAGGTTGCATGTCGGTTTGAGCTTTCCAGGCTCTGAAGAAGGCCGAACCGCCGAGACTTCAGCTAATCTTTGCTAACAATGCTATGATACCAACCTCCCATTTGCTCATCAAGAAGAAAGAACGGTGAGCTATTAACCAATGGCGAGGTTAAAAGAAAGTCGGTTTGAAATAATACTCATATTATAACTCATTTTATAGTCCAGATATGCATTCAATCACCTCTAACGATGATCAATGAAGTCGAATGCATGACGCATCCCTCAGGGATTGCTCAACGCCGAAGGTTTTATCCTTTATCCTTCTTCCCCCAACGTTTTACTCTTTATTGCGACTAGGGATTGGAATCGAATAATGACTTCCCAAAAACAGGTTGGTGCTCCCTGGAATATCCCACGCTGAAAAAGAGGCCAACATTTCCAATAGGAAGCCCAGACATTCTCTAGTGAATACTCACTACCTCCATCTCTTTACTAGCACGTACTTTCCTTAGAACAGGCTATAAAGTGCATACTAACAGCCACATTATGTTCATGTTTTGCTGATAGCTGGAAAATTCTTTCGAATGCTTTTATATGTTAGGACCTTCACAACATACGAAGGCTAAGAACTAGTCACGCTTACTGCAATAAAATTTACCTTCAAACGTCACGTGTAAGGCATAATCATCTTGTGAAATCACTCATTTTCTTCTTCATGGTCCCTCCCACTTCCTACTCTTTTTATTCTCGGAAACTAGACTATTCTTAAATGTAGGTACTCGTAGTCCTGCATCATCGATGTAGTGCATGAACTTTTGAACATCTCTATATAACAGCTGCATATTTTTTATTCTTACTGCGTTGTCATTGCTCTATTAAAAAATCAATTACTCTAGTTTGAGGTCTTAAAGCATAAGTAACACGAAGATCAATACAGTAGGATAATGGAGGTAAACATTTTCTACTACTCCGCCAATGAGCACACCACCTAACAATGAATGTACGGGAAAACACTCATTACGGCAACACAACTGATACTTGAAAGCAAATGATGATCAGAGAGCACGCCAACCCCTGCGAAAGGAAATCTTGCGTACCCAAAACCCAATTAACTGCAAACGGTTTTGGAGCTCACAGAAGTCCTCATGATTCGTGAAGATGTGTTATTGTAGTACTCAGGAAAGTAAACATTTTCATTAAAACAGAAGCATAAAGAATGCCGACTCACATTTGGAAATTGGTACACATACAATGAAATAATAACTACAGATGTGTAGATGATCAGACCTAGCCAGAATGGATACGCTATGCGACAGAAAAATCCGAAGCTTATCTAAATGTTCCACTGGAAAATTTTCGTAATAACTGACAAAAATTAGAAGTATTTTTCATCAAGATCTCCAGAATGTCGAGAAAGACCTATAAGTCGAACACCTACCTTAAAATAGATTACCAACAAACACCATATGCAGAAAAAGCCGATAGTATAAAGTACAGGATGCGGTTGACAGGCGACAACAAGAAGCACTAGAGCTACAAGGAATATTGAGCACTTCGTAAACTGTAACGACAACCAGTGCACAAACCCGGCAGCTCTATCTCTCTGTAAAACGAAAACGCACTGATCCACACACTGTTGTCAACTATATCCCGGCAACCAGTTCACCATCGATTTGTTACGCATAACAAGCAAAACATTCCACTATGAAACTCACCCTTCCCTGTGTAGTACCAACTGGAACAGCAGGATCTTTATCGTGGAACGTACCGTAGTTCTGAATACGACGCACTCGTTCGTGTTCGCTCAACGATTCGTAGAAGCTGAAATGAAAAGAAGAGACTTCTAGATAGAAGCTTTTAAAGAAATAAGAAAGAGCAAGAAAACTGACGTCTCTCGAATGCTTAAGCGAAGCAGTAGGAAGACGGGAAGGCTAAGAAGAAGCTGAAAAGAAAGTTTAGAGCTTATTTAATTTAAAATCGTTTTTGGAAAGAATGATGGGAAATGATTTGAAATAATGACATAATGCGGCCTTGAACTCTGCCTTAAAACATCTACAGCACTCAGTGAACTAGAATACAAAGATATTCTATGTATTCGCCAAAAAAGAAAAATTACTGCCGACTCAACGCGCACATGTCAAGAGTCCAGCCAAAGTGCACCACAACCGGTTGTCAAATCATTTTTTCGTCATTGCAAAACCCTCTAATCTCTCGAAATCAACATTGAAACAACAGAATGGAAAAGGCCATATGTGAAACTAAAAAGTTGGGTCACAAAATATTAGACAACTAAATAATTCGGAATGTGAATTTTAACTAAAACAACATTGCCCTTAAATGCTATTCACAAATAACAAACACGAAAACCTAGAAATGATATGATTCAAAGACCTTCAGAGGTTATGCGCAAGATTTTTGTCCAGATAAATCAAAGACGTTCTAAAAGAACGGGTATAAAATAGGACGTACTGCTTGGACAACATCGAACAAAAGCAAACAGATATGCGACTCCAAATTCCATGCTGATTCATTCGTCAGCAAAATCATGATGACGACATATGAATCCTATAGGACATTTAATGAATTGTTTGGTACGTTCATACTTCATTGAGAAGTAAATACACTTATAGTTAAGTACTGGCAGAGATAATTAGTTTCCTTTTTAACAGTTAGACACATTACAGTGATGAACGAGCGTTCCTTATTGCCAAAATTGCCAGAAAGAAATGCACACCAGAGATTAGATTTACTCACCACATGGTTACTTAAACAGTGAAAAGATACGGTTTGAAGAATCCGAAAATCTAGACGGGTACAAGTTACTTTTTTGGCTAGAACCCTTCTAAACTAAAAATGACATAGTGCATCACGGTAAACCCAACTCCGTTCACTATGAAAACAATGAAGCGCATTTTCGCTTTCTCCACTAATGATTTCTGTATGCCGACATATGAACATATTCTGATGTTCCTAGAACATCTTGCATTCCTTTCGTTTCCTCGAGCCCTTCAACAACTAAGGAGTTCTAATTCCCACATGGACTCGGCTATTACTCCAAGATTTCAAACTATGTCTTGAATCTTGTCGATGAATGCTAATCGAATCGATCCTCCCTAGAGTACTGACATACCCGTGCCAGGCCTTCTCACTTTGACTAAAGGGAGTGAGACAACATAGAATAAAACCATGCTGAACATTTGTCCAGTGGTTACATATAAAATAGCAGACGACATAACTAAATCTACTGCAGTTCCAGGCCGCATGTATCACTTATAACACGCGAATCGGTGAATACATCTGGAATGGCAACCATTCTAGTGACATTTTCAATGGTGTTGGTCGTGTTCAAATATTATGAAGATCCATCTTCTGCACAATAAAATACAGGACAATACAACGTCAGGATCTACTGTGAATTCTCACAAACAGTGATCATTTTTAGCGACTACTTTGCTGTCTTTCATATCACGCGTAATCCAGTTCCACACAGTCTTGCAAACATTCTTGAGCCCAATGAGTTCCCACAACCGATAAGTGCCGTTAAAAGATGTGCAACGAAGTCAATTGTTTAAGCGAATTTCCATAGGTCCTTTTCTATGGGTACAGGTGCAGGTGATCTTAACTGTTCTGTTGACTTTATTCCACCGATTGTTGACATTCGTACCTATACAAATACCACTCGGTGTTGCTCACTCTATTAAGTGCACATGGAGAACCAAGCAGCAAGTCCGAAATCAGTCAAAATCATTTTCTTACACTGTAGCAATCATTCAGCACGAGTGATATAGGCCATTACTAAGTTTAATCGTTTTACTAGCATTACTTTCTCAGCAAACAGATAGTGTTGTCGAACATCCCTATTCACTCTGCTGTCCTCGCATTAGAGTTTACATACGGGAGTGCTTGGGGATAAGGAAATGGAAAGCTTGGTGAAATAACGTAAAAGTTCGTTGGATTCGCTTTAGCCTTGTGACAGTGTTATTCTAAAAAAAGGTCTTCATTAGTTGCACTTTCTTTCAATCAATGGGACAACTTTGCACACTATGTATACAGCTTGTTTACAGATTTCCTTCCATTGAATACATTCTTCATTAGGATGACACCACCAAACAGCGATGTTGTACATGTCCCATTTAGACTTGACCATACCGCCACTTTTCCAGTGCAACCCCAATTAGTAACGCCTAGAAGGCTGCACTACTGTTTAGAAAATCACTCATAATATACTTCATGTACAAGAACTCCTGGAGAGTACTGTGCTTCGAAGCGTTTATTTTCTTGCTGGATAAAGCGTCATGCTCTAGAACGGAGCACTGAAGAAATGACATACACAGTCCGACTGCCAAGATGGAGATATCAGGTGGAAAGTGTCAAAAAAATCAGAACGTAGGTCTTGAAGATCTTGTTGAAAGCTGTAGAAGTATCATTACGATACTGTTTCACATGATAAAGCAAATCAATAGGTCGAATAGTGTAAGTGGACGGCAAAGGCTTAATCAAAAATCCCAAGTAGGGACAACAGTGAGCGGAGTAAACCACTAACACATGAGAGAAGTGTAAACAGACATTTTTCAATAAATACTATAACAGAACCTTTACCGCAAGAATGCTAAAACCACTATGAAGGCAGGATAGGCAGTTCGGACAGAAACAAGGGCAATAAAAACTTCCTGAATTCCTGTAGACATCATAATGTCTTCGAATAAAAATTCTACCAGAAAGAAAAAACACCGTGGCTAAAAAAAAACTTTCGCATTCGCAGCATCCATACAGACTTTGGTTATATTCCGACAAATTTTTTAGTTGCCAAGTTGTCAAGTCTCTTCAGTCATTAAAGCACGATTGAAGCACAACCTGCAGCAAGATTGCCATCGCACAAGAAAGAAATAACAAAAAATGCTCGGTGAAATCATTGTCAATGGGTCTTAACCTACAGAAGACGACGATGTCTAGAAATGAAAAGCACCCCGACAGGCGGACAGCACAGTTTGATACTTGAACAGCCTGCCCTCACTAGGACAGCAAAGCACACGGTTGAAAACTAGGTGGCCGAAATGCTTGTTGCGTAGCAGTTCCCTACATACTCTCCGGAAAGATGACCTTCTTGTGCATATGTGGACTTTGAGTAATATCCAATACAAACGATTTTATTGTCGTCTTCTTCAAAGCCTGGAAAGGGCAAACTGACACGCCACCTATTCAGCCGAACACTGGTATAAGCTGAGCAGATAGAACTTAATAGATAAATTTCTCTTAACCTATAACAACCACGAAATAACTTAGGTGCAAGTACTTCAATCATATAAACCGCGTTTATACCCAAGACTTGTAGTGAAAATGACAAATTGAAGGAAGGACTCTATAGATAGGAACAGCACGTCATATCCTTTCAACTGTAGACTTATTATTACAAAGATTGTGTCACCATAAAGATAGAAAACAACGATAGAGTTCCTGGTACGTGCAGTGAACAAAACGAAGAGGCAGTGCAAAAAGAGCTACACAAAGTCGCAAAACATGAACGAGACGATAATGGCGAACATATAATCCTGCATTTCAAATAACTTGCACTGTCAAGGTCATTCAATAAAGTACCACTCGAAGAACCAAATAACTCCAATGAACCGATGCAAACGCACAACTTCAACAAAAACTAAGATAGCAGGATAGTCTGTACGCTTTACCTGCTTAAGATCCTCAATTCAAAGAATAAGAAAATAGGAATACTGCTTAGAACAAGAACAACTGAAGAAACAGCGCTTACAACGATTATTAGTCTCCTGAAATTAACTTCAATAATGCAATCAAGTTCCATTCTCGTAACAAGTTATCCTCCCTACGACCAAAAAACATCTGCCTTTCAATTTTCTCCTACTGTTAAAGTTAATCATTTAACTCCCAAGTCCGACTTTCTATTAACCTCGGCATTGATTGAATATATCTTTAAGATATATTTAATATTATATATATTATATTATATTATATTATTTATATTATATTATATTATATTATATGTTATATTATATTATATATTATATTATATATTATATTATATTATCATTTATATTTTATATTTATATTATTTGTTATATTATATTAATATTATATTATATTATATTATACTATTTATATATATTATATTATTTATATATTATATTATATTATTTATATATTATATTATATTATTATTATATTATATTATATATTATATTTAATATTTATTTAAAGATATATTTAATCATTTAAAGTACTTACTGTACAACCACTTAAAGTATTCATCACATAATCCTACGAACTCTCTCTTTCTGAGCTGTTTGAGCCAAAATGAGGTTGTTAACAGGTGTTTTGATGTTCGGCAGCTATCTCGTTTTAGCTCAAGAAAGGAGAGTTCGCAAGACAATCTGATTTGATTAAAGCCGAAGTTAATCAAATGTTGTTCTTTCGAATTATTTATTACATACACACTTTGAAATATTGCTTCTAAATCAGTGTATGTTTTAGAGTATTAGCGCAGCTACCAAGCTACTTGGACTATTGATGATTTCCCTACGTTGCCACATCATGGAACCCGTTCTGTGAAAAGTGCTCAGTCGGTTAGTCGCATGGCACCGAAGCGGATCTCGGGAGGGTAGGAAGTAAGCAAGATGTTAACCAAAAACGACCGCATATTTCTCCTTCTATGTAAGAGGATTCGGAAGACAGATTCCCTATTTCTGAAGTGCTGGATTGGGGTAAAAGTCTAGTTGGCGTGGCGACACAGTCGTGCCTGTGTGCGTAGGTGTGCCACTCTGAATGTTAAATCAGCTAAGTCAATGCGATGTTGAGTACCTTGTGATTTCAAGTGAAGATCGCCGAAATCGGCGAGGTGCTTACTGTGAAAGGAGCATTTATTTAGTAAAATCTAATCGCAAATACGGCATGAATTATCATCAAATCAGCGACAGTGCCAAATTCTGGCGGACAAGATCTACATCGCAAAATCGTGTCAGTGTTGTGATGAGTTCCGACGAAAAAACACGGCGAAAAGAAAGAAGAAAGGGAAAAAATTTTTACTATGGTAGGGTAGTTAATAAAATTCTCCGTAAGCTGAGATATATTTGCTGAAAGCCGTAAAGACTTGAAATCACTTCATATCGTCCATTACACGTCAAATACTGTAAAAGTGGGAATGGAAATTGGCACAAATGCAAAAAGAGAATGATTGAGTGGACATATGTAAAGGGTGTAATGGCTCTTATAGCTCAAACATGTGTATTTCTACAGAAAGAACCTGGACAACTTGGCCTGGAAGTGATTGCATATGTCGTAGCACGATGTACAACGGTGGGATAATTTCAGAGAAGAAAACAACTACGCCAGAAATTTCGACATCTCCTTTTGAATACCTAACTAAGAATAGATATATCCATCGGCAGAACCTAACAATGTGCAAAATACGCCGTACGCTTCGTGTCAAGAATAATGAGCAGCGTATGGTTAACGAACTCAGTTCACAAACGAAAGAAATGGAGTTCACATTTGCTTGCTAGAATTTCTCGATAATAAACAAGAAAATGCACCATCATTCGGCGCTTACAAGATTTCTCTCAACCAAAGTTTGAAGAAATTTTATTCCATATAGATGAGAAAAAAATTTGCAAGTTAAATGATGAGTAAGGTAGAATTCGGGAAGTGAGAAAATCTGTTTCCACATTTGTGAGCAAAAGAAACTAAAAACTTCAAAATTTGAGCTTTGATGCTTTTAATAAGTTCCACTGAATAACAAATAGTAATATTACATCATTCGGTCTATAAATTACTTGATACGATCGAACTACCTGATGTGGGAGCATTGGTATTGCTTACGGTATCTTAAGAACTCCCCTTTCTCATGTTGCTCAATGGTCGCGTAGGTAGTGAGGGCTTCGTTTTGGAACGATTCTATTGAATGATGAAGTCAAAAATTTTTACAGCGGTTTACATACCTTCACCGAAAGGGTAACAAAACCACTCCACATATTACTGGCAATCATAATTCCAACCATTTTTAGCCAATCTGGCAACTGAAGTTCCGAAGACGTTACGTTCATGCTGCATGCATACTGAGCCAGTAGAAGGAACTATAAAAAAAACCGATCTTTTTCCCAACGTATATTGTTTGATTAATGACTTCTGCAAGACGTAGGCAATTTGTAAAAGAAAACAGATAAGGACAAACCCCCGAAAAATCAGTTTACATTTGTATCGTACTTTTTCACTTTAATTTATGCCTCATTATTTAAGGCAGTTCCACGAAAACAACGGAATTGAAAAACGATAACGCTAACAGTAACTATTAAAACAGTCACGTAAACGAAGCAAGTAAACAGGGAAACCATTGTGATTGTAAGTATGAATATGTTCCTTTGTAACAGAGCAAGCCCCCTAGAACACCGTCTTTTTGGGAAGAATTGTAGTTAAATGGAATAAAAGAAGAAGATAAAAAAAAGAAACAGATAGGTAACCTCAACATAAACCGTAATCGATGGTGCCATAGCGAATGAGGCTCCACGCGAATCCTTGAACATCCATAACGTGCACGCCAACACCAGCAGAAGAAGGCCGAAGATTGAGTGATATAACAAAGCCCATGTCTTAAAAATTCTTCACACATACATAAATCTTCATACACGAGCAAGCAAAGAAAAACTTAAGAGCGAAAGTAAAACAAAAGGTGTTGTTTCCCATTGTAATTTCTCAAAAATACACTATCTACAGATCTTTGTAAATGTTAAAACTACTTCTCAATTAATCTTCGATACTAACCATCATGGCAAGCAAAGCAAATGTGTAGGCATGGTATAAAGCGAACGAAAAGATTGCCACCATTCCTTTTGAAGCAGCAATGGTAGCTGGATTTTCAGCAGTTCCTGAAATAGAAATATTAAAACAATCGAATTGAATGCCACGTCCCAGGTATCTATGGTCGATCACAATTACCAAAAATCTGTCCAATTCTATGGCGATCGACAATCTGAGAAGTAACCTTCCGTAGAGGTATCGCTTGTCCCGTTTCTCCAAAGTGCACATCTTCCCCATCAGGAGGAAGCAACTGAAATGACATTTCGTTAAAAAAAAATCCTTCTCGGCTAGTTCGCTACTTGAAAAAACAAACATATGGACAACGACAATAACGAAAGGAAAACAAATTACTTTAATCAAACTCAGCATGATAAAACACTTTCACACATGAACACAGAACTTAACACTTAGAGTCCGAAGATGGTTTTTTCGATTTTGTTTGTAACTTTCAGATAATTATCGTTGTTGAAGAGTTGAGAACTTGATAGATATAAAGAAGAAACTTTCCTAAATCCCAGTAAAGGTACATACTTGGATGGCCCGTCATCATTAGTTGTGCTGGCCCTAGCATGATCTCCATTTTTTTGAAGTTTTGCTAGCTTAATCACTGTAGCACCCTGGAGTCCCGAGGTTAGTGTGGCCAAAATCCGCCCCACGGTCACCGCCATAGCCAGTCGCCCACTTTGCGGATCAGAGGGATATTGGCCACTATGCGACCAGTTTGATACCAGGACGAAGGTAGATGCTGGTATTGTTTACTCTTAACTGGGCCTCCAGATGTAAACGTCGAACTCCTTCTTAGCTTGGGGAACCCCGCTGGGAGATGAACCCTACGCTGTATATCACAGCTTAACACCCAGGAACACCTCCCAGCCACGATGAGGGGGTAAACCACTAGGAGGTAAAGCTAAATATGATATTCCCAAAGATGTTGATTTACAACTTTCGTCATTTAATCTCGACAGTAAAATAATCAACATGTATTTAAAATGTTCAGCTTACAGGAAATTATTCAACAACTTTTATTCGGCAAACGTTTCGACGTTCTCGTCTTCATCAACTTGAACCATCGGCTCTGATGGAGACGAAGACGTCGAAACACTTGACAAATGAAAGTAGTTTAACAAACTCGTGTAAGCTCAACAATTTGAATACACGTTGCTTTGTTCCAGGAGTGCAAATGAAAACCAAAATTTAAAACGTCCACTGTAATCCCAACTGTCCCAAACATTAATGAAACGCTGTAGATGGCACTAAAATCAGCAATCCGTTGTAGTAAAATAAGAGCACTTGTAATTCTTCGTATTCTTGTTGAGCAAACGCGAGGTGTTATTTTTATTCTTTATTCACTAATAAGCTGACGTTTCGGCTAAACGTAGTTGAAATGCCATCGAGTAATCTTAGGCGCCAGCTAGTTCGTAACCGCCTATACGATGTGCAAAATTGCATAATTTGCCCTAATGGTAGAGATTGCAATTGAAAGTATAATATAATGGTAAATAAAATATAGCAGTATATATAATGGTAAATATAGCATAGTGGCGTATATACTATATATATATATATATATATATATATATATATATATAGTATATACGCCACTATGCTATATTTACCATTATATATACTGCTATATTTTATTTACCNGTATATATTATATATATATATATATATATATATATATGCCTGTTATTCTGATCAGAGGGGCACATTACGCTTCCATGTGAATTCTGTGCGATTGGTCCCCACGCGACATACTCAGTGGAAGAGTCATAGAAAGCGGTGAGTGTGCAAAGAAGCTATTCTGTGTTCAATGTGATTGGAATCTTGGGTTGGCGTTTTCTTTGTTTAGTTATGGAGGTGTTTGGCCGAATAGATTGCTGTCAACTTGACTTTTCCAGGCCCAGAGGAAGGCGAAATCCACCGAAACGTCAGCTTATTCGTGAATAAAGAATAAAAATAACACCTCGCGTTTGCTCAACAAGAATAGGAAGAATTACTTGATCAATGCCGAGGTTAATAGAAAGTTGGTCGTGGGAGCTAAGAGCACTTGTATTTTGCCGCAAGTCATGGCGATTATTTCAATAAATAAAATTCATTATGAAGTGATTTATACCTCCTTAAAGCTGTCGAGCGCAAATGTTTTCCGGCACGCATGAGTGGAAATCAATTCATATCGGACTCTAATTGTTAACGTTGTATACAATAATTCCACACATTCAACACTCAACAAATATAGCTCCGATGAGATCTGTGACTTTGAGCACACTTCTACTCTCACAAGTAGGAACATATGTTCAAAATTACCGGCCGGCTCCCATGAGGACTAAGGGCAGCATTGTCATCGGCGCGATCATTTCCAGCATTTAGTCTCTGAAGTTAGTTAAAAATTTCGTTTACAAATAACTCAATTGCGAAAAATTTACGCGCTATGAAAACAGCTGATAGTTCACATAACCTGCACATATCATATAGGATTGAAATAGTGAGGACAGCTTAGGGTTGCATTCTTTTTACGTTTATGCTCCGCCATAGGTTTACCGCCTTGTCAACGTTGGAGGCATTCCTGCATCGTTATACTGCAGTTTAGAAGAGTTCATCTCCCAAGTGGGATCTCCTAAGATGAGAATGAGTTTGACATTTCTGCTCAGAAGTCTATATATGGGTAAACCAATGTCAGGAATCAACACCGTCCTAGCAGAAAACTAATCGTGAAGTGACGAATCTCCCGGTCATCCACAAGGACTACGGACTGCGCACGATGATGGCATGAGGAAGCAATGGGTTGGGTTCGTTCTGGACTAAAGAAAAAGCCTATAGTTCAGTCAGCAATAAGTCAGCCTCAGTAGTCACATTGGGTCTTCCTTTCTACGATATCACATGGTTAGACAACGGTTAAGAAGTGATAGAATCTCAGGAAGTCACTTAAACCAGAACAAAACAGCATGTCCGCAATACACCTTGGAGGTTGCTTCCTGCTCCGCACCCATCATACTGGAACATTCCCCTCAGACATCATTCTTTACGCAACTTTTAAACCTACAAATCGCATCGAATTAGATGTGATCGCATTAAGAAGGGCAAAAAACGCGAATACTAATAAAGAGCAATAAGATTGTGGGACCATTGTCATATTTGGACAGGTTGGTGGCGTGGTCCTTCTTGTAAATCCATCCAACTACCTCTCCTGTCGTATGACATGAGAGCTTACCATCGAAAGAGAGACAGTGCCTTAACGACAATTTCTGAACCTATGCAGCGGAAGTTGACCAGAGTGAATTGAATGCGTCCCATTATCGGTTGGAAAAAGTAATCCGTATTGAAAATTGCTTCTACATGATTGTTCTCGGAGATTTCAACGCCGAATTAAAAATGGTCAAGAATAATGAACACATGGCTGAGCAATTTGAAATATGAGTCAAAATCGGGACCACTGAAATCGGACTGCCTTGCTGGACTGCTGTCCACAATATAATTCTTCAATGAAAATTCGTTTTTCAAGAAGAAACAATGTTGCCATCAAACACGGGGTTCTCCTAGCAATGCCAGTATCACGAAAATCTATCAAATCCTTATAAACAGTAACTGTTACTTCATTCATACCTCAAAAGTGTCATTCTTTTGTACCGGGTTTCACCAACGGCTTCCTAGTGTGAAAACTCAATTCAACCATAAAAGGAGAAAGGAGTTTTGTCAACGCGCGTATAGAAAAAGACACATCATAAATGTCGTGAACAGTCTGAACGAAATCCTTCCTTCATCGAACTTCAAATCAAGGAAAACCGTAGCGAAAAAGACGTGGGGTATGTAGAAGGGCTTCAAACTTTTGCCGCCTCAGTCCTCAAACAAGTTCCGACCGCATCTCCACCGCCACTATGGATTTGTTCAATCACAGAAGAGAACTGGAGCTTTAATAACATCACACCCGATTTCCTTCAGGCGGTAAACCACAGACAACATGCGCAGCTCTTAAGTCATATGTAGCTCACCTTCAAAAGGAAAAGATTACACAGCAGTGGAGAACCTGCACGCTCATCCTGCCTGAGAAATCACCGGAACTTCGCACATTCGTAAGGCCACAAAACTTTTTCGAAAGTACCATCTTCCTTTGTTTAACCTTTATAGCCCACAAAAATACGCTCGACAGCGTCGAAATGAATGAAATTTTACTTCGGCTTGATGGACAAGTGTAGACCTGTTCCACATAAGAACTCTCTAGCTGACTATTATCCTCACTGCACCAAGAAAATACAGTTCTTCCACTCAATCCCTTACCATCCCATTGGGAAAGGTGTCTAGGGTGACCTTATCTCGCCAATGCACTTTTTTTTCTACACCGCAGTGGTTACTGAATCCAAACTATTGAAACAAAAATAACATACGCATTGGTTGCAAGTTCCTACTATATCAATTATATTCCTATATCTCTTGAAAACACCACCGTTCCGTGAGCCACCGGTGAAGCAAAGACAATGTTCAAAGAACTCGACAAAACTGGAAAACAGATTATACTGCGCATAAATCGAACAAAAAAGTTCATAAAAACCTACGGCATGAAAGCGAAAAAAACTGGATTTATCTTTAATTATAGAGACCACATCGTACATATACTCAGGTCGTTAAATGAACAAGAAGAACAGCATGAATGAATTATTTAGGAACGGACAAAACAGCCTGATCCCTGTGGGCCTCTCGAAAAAGCACTTAGCAAATAATGGACTCGAAACTCCGTGTTTGCACCACTCACAAAATGCTTCATCGGCGTCCTCAACTTATGCAATAGCTATCCGGAATGCGCAATTCACATCCTATCTTCTAAGCTTATCCTACCTTCGAAATTAGGAAATTGCACATAGATAGCGAAGCAGAGAGAACTCGGCGACAAGTGAAAAGCAAGAACGGTATAGTCGACTCAAAAAAGATGTAAACGTTCTCTAGAACGATCATTTTCGAGATTAACTAACGTATTCATCGTTCTCGTCAACCAACTATATTGGTGGCTGGATTCATTGATCAAGGGAAAGGTCGCGCGGACGTTAGCATACTCAGGGCAGAGGACTACCAAAGAAGCGTTCGTGTGGGAAATAAAAACGAATGAAGATGGGTACCGTTTATCATGGAAAAAGATCATCTAAGCTATGGCCAAGATGCGCGAAAATGATTTAGGAGATGGAACTATGCGGCACAGATGCACCTGTCTAATGTGACTGACAAAGTGGAACATAAGGATCGTCTTCCACTGGGACAATATAAAAGGGATCGAACGAAGACATAAGCTAGTTATGGTATGAAAAGGATTGAACGAGAACATGTCCAAAGCATTGTGTAAAAGGGAACTAATGAAGACATATACTAGGGATGAAATTCCCCAAGACTAAGTTGGATAACACCTATATAGATATAGATATAGATCTGATTTCTTCAAAACTGCTAAGACCTTGTGCTAAGCGAAATGTACACCTCGTTTATGACCAGCGACCAGTTCTTTAACCCCATAGATCTTGTTCTAAGGAGTTTGATGAATGTTAAAGTGAGATAAAAGTGTAAAGTCTAACCAGTCTCCTTCAACAAAACTGTATTTACGTAAGTGTACGAAGGAATTCAGTATGTCAAAGAACAGCGCTGGCCATAAATCACTGTTACTACAGATTAAGTTAAACTGCAAAAGTCATGTACTTGACGAACAACTGCTGGGCAAAAGCTGTAACTAAATGAATTTAGCGCAACGCCAGACGGCCAGTATTACCATCAAAATATCTAGTACAGAAATCATCATAATACATCAAAATAATGGCAAACGAAATGAAATCTACGGAACGAACGCATTTTCATCCCTAAGAAGAAGTGGTGACACTGACGAAAAACCGTGTAGAAAACAAAAGTGTTTTGTTCTAACCCAAATAATTCATTTCGAAATAAACAAGTATACTACCTAAGATAGTTACTGTCCTAGAAAAACATCAAAGGATGGTGAGCTCCAGATACTAATTTGACCATGCAGACAAAGTAGTTGATCAATGGCATGAGCATGCAACAATTGCAAGCAATACAAAGAAAACACATAGGCTAATTATAACGCAATCCAACGCAATTTGTTAGAATGCCAAGGCAAAATATGCATAACCTACGAAGAACATAAAGCGGTAGAATTGGCAAACCTCTTCATGAACTGATGATTCACCATCGTTATCGTCAACATAATCTCGACTGCCGTTGTAAGTCCAAAGCAGTTGAACCATGAGGACATGATAGAATACCTCAAAATTGAACTGCTACTTAAACTGAAACTGGTCCTTTCAAACGTGAAACTTTCAGCAACAGGATACTACCTAAGATAGTTAAGATAGTTACTAAGATAAATGAACAGAACAGTATGCGATTAGTTCGCGGATATATTCTATAGCAATATGTTTCAAAAACAGCGCCAAAGATTGATGTTTTGAATTTAACGATTTCAGGACATCTACAACTGTTGGAGTTAATGAAAACTCAGGCTATTAAACCTTGAACCCATATCATTTCCCTGATGCAATCATGCTAAAGCTAAGCTTATGAGCTTTTTACAAACCACTTTAAAATTATAAACTATGTTTTCTATGACATGTTCCCAATCTAATCTAATTATACCGAAATTTTAACTTATCGCCTTCGCCATCTCATGTATTACGCAATCACTCTGTCAGTTCCATTCGGATACGATTGTGCAAGCAATTTAAAGAGATGACAAAAATTTCTTGAACAGTACTATCTGATGCACCCTCTGTTTAAAAAACCTCATCTAATTTAAAACATTTGATTGACCCATGGCTAGGCCTCGTTTCTATATCAAACATGTCATTCCATGCAACTCCTACAACTACCAAGGGAATATAGTCAGCGTCACTGATCAACCTTACATTCGTTTGTATAGTGCTCTGAAAGTCTTCACATTGCCTCTTTCGTTTATGTGGTAGAACCGAATTGTCAAACTCTCCATTCATATGAACAGCATTGACTTCAGTCGCCTTCAGTCGGTTATGAATAATCTGTTTCAACCAGCGATAAATTAAAGTTACTCCTTATTATTATATGGACCTGTTTGGATTTGTTAGCAGTGCTATTTTGCTGTATTGTCCGGATAAATGTGTAATTAGCCAAGTTTGAGGGTCACCCTGTGGAGAACAGCAATACATAAACACCCGATTGCTGCTGACGAGCAACAGCAATCAAGGTACCACACTTCGTGCGAACGATCGGTCCGTTAATCAACATTTTTCTTCCGAAACCGACGTTGTGGATTCAGCAAACAAACGCATTCTTAATTCTATCTCAACAAAATAGATACTGTAGTTCAACCTCACAGGCCCCTCTACAGTAAAGCGAATCTCTGAAGGTAACACCTATGTATTATTCTATTCTCGGAAACTGAACTAGCCAACACCGCAACATAAACAGGCCGGTCGCAAAACGGTAATGCTTCCCAGACGCAATGCTAGCTTCCTACTGAACAACTCAACACTAACCTTTCCTTGCAATTCACCAGCACAATCTACCAAACAAGCACCGACCGATTACTACAATAATATATAGCTTACTAGAAAATGAGATGTTATAGCAAAACCTTTCTCAACTCACCAGCAAAAATAGAGGATTAATCATAGCAGGCAACTGTAGATTATCATTAACCCAAAACTTCCACCACCTTTGACAATCAGTTAGTAAAATCGCGGAGAGACCGATAATCCTAAATAACTTTTGTCAAATAATTCGCAGAGTTCCATACTTCGTGTAATATTCAACAATATATGACTCCAAAGACTCTATACCTAGCCAAAATTGACTCCCCAGGCAGGATTTCCTGTACAATCGGAATTTGATAGATGTAAATTGCCAGTATGTGAAATGCAGCGAAGAAGAGAAGAATCTGAATTGATTGGAAAAGAACGGGTTGTAAGAACTTTTCAACATATGTATGAGAGTATTGAAAACCTTCTTGATTCTATTATATATCCCATGTCGTAATGGATTGTACAGTGCCCACCAGCTCGCAACAAAAAGAAACACTAAGAAGTACACGCAATTCAGAATCGATGGCTGGAAAAGAATGCAATAGGCAAGGTTCCGACTTTCTAAATACTTAAAAAATAGACTCCTTCTTAACTACATCAAACAATTGTCACGAAAGAATGTTTTACTTGCACGCATCCAACGACAGCTACAAGAACAATAATAGCGAAATTCGAAAAGCGTTTCAATGCCAGCATAAACGACCGAGCACCAAGCCAACGATCGGGTTTGCTAAACCAAATCAAGATTTTGCGAAATACAACTAATATAATGCTGAGATATTTGCAAAACTCCGGACCGCAAGTGTCTGCGGTGGAGAGCGAACGCGCCATTGTCCTTTCCGGGAAGTAGCGCGTTCACCACCACACCAAGCGGATCTTTCGTTTCGCCTGTCTCTCAGCTACAAATCGAGATTGTTAAAACACAGGCTACCATAGAGAACCTTTGCACTTATGTCTTTGGAGAACTCTTACCCATCATTATTCATTCGAACAGGTCTAACTGTGCCGGGTACTTCAACTTCCTGTGCACGATGAGAGAATAATACAACCACAACGAAAGAGATATGCGAAGCAACGAAAGCAATAATCTCCGGGAGAATAGTTACGGCCGATCGAAGTCCATCATTCCCGTGAAATCTTAACAGTTAATCATAAAAAGTGAAAGTCAGTGACAAGAGTTATTCGACGACTTCTTTTCAAAAGGATTGATTCAGCTCGTGCACATCGAAGATACACAAAAACACGGTCGAAATTAAAACTAATGCAGTCTTTCATAATGATCTACATCTTTCTAAATTTTAGCATTGAATTGCACTTCTTTCGCTAGTATTTGAAGGATTTTCAGAGTAGTGTGAAGGATTATGTAAGAAAATACTTGAGAAAGACAATTTGCATTTGAAATGAATTCATACTAACCTGACAAACCCCATGTATCGAAGCCACTTCATACTCGTTTCAGTGCATCTTCTAATGTACTGTTCTTCATTTGGAACCGTTAGTGCTTCGAAAATTTGGTAGATTACCATTCCAGCAGTAGTCAAAAAACAATAGAACGTGCATGCGCATGAGTAAAGTCGTATACTTGCTAGAAATGAAAACTTATATTAATTTTCGATAAGTATTCTTTAGTTAACAACTCTAATCCACCATTTAAGAAGAAAATTACCTAATTATAATAGTATACCAAAAAAGTTGACGAAAAAAGCTTAGCACTAATGAAGCTGACTGAAAACTGTAAGCTGTAAAGCAAGTTAAAAGTTCTAGAATAAAGGATGGAAAACTTTAGTTCAGAGATATGACAACCAGTCTATATAAGTATTAAAACGAATAATGCGGTCATACTTCCAAAGAAGAGGTGTTCTGGTACCTGGTAGTGGAAGAGCCGCATGAATGGTTGGGAGCACAGGACTGAGTAAAGCGAAAATCACGTAGACTACAGAGATAAAACATGGTCGAATGAAGGCAGCTGAAAGGATGCTTGTGTGTCACATAACAACTCGCCATTTTTCATTGTTTTCATTGTTCAAAAACAGTACACTAATTAAACTTCAAGGTCTAAGCTTGCGTTAATAAAATGAACGAATAAAGCTCTCGGCGTTGGTCAATCCCTTTGGGAAACGCCATGCATTCGGCTTCATTAAGCATCGTTTGGAGGTGAATGAATCCATGTCTAGCATCTAAAATAACTCGCGATGGCCTGCTGATGTATCAAGCCAGTACTGCTTTCCTCCCAGACAAGTCTTGTAAAAATCTGCCGACCCTGGAAATACGGAGGGTTTGCTGGCCTTGAGGAGCGGGGATTGATCCCATGTGTGTTACACCACTGCGACTGCGCTACACGCGTCTAGCTAACGTTAGTCAAACCAAACGGAACACTTTGGTGCAAAACCAATAAGCTTTCAAGTATTTGACATCTTTAAATTCGGTAGCAATGAGCAGCTGACGATTCGATAACAGTACTACGTTCTCCCTCGACTTAGTACTATAGAAATAATCAACCGAACTCACCAAACAATAACGATAAAGGTAAAATCCCACGGTAGAAGAGATATTTCACAAACGGAGCGACCATCATGAAGATTTCCGTCAATCGTATTCAACAGACACAGGCTTCGTGCATTCCTCAACTCTTCTTTTCGTCGAAGAAGAACTGAATTCACCGACTCGATTTCGGGCCTGCGAATCCTGACATTCCAAATATTCAAGGAAAGTATTGATTATTACGACACAGATCAAATTCGAGTGTGGTAACCAATAGCTCCAGAAGAAGAGATAAATACGGTTAAAAAGATAATCTTTATGAAATCACAGCTTGTTCCAATCTAAGATTTCACAAAGTGCGATCCAGTTCCGTAACGAAATTCAGTGAGAAAGGCTGGTTAGAGTAATGACACAATGTAACATGAATACAAATTCAACCTACTTTCAACTGTATGACTCACAGGACTCATTTTCTCTCCGGCTGTTTTCATCGCACAAAAACCTTTCTGCGGTTGCTCTCATATTTATTAAAGTGACAGCTTTCCTGTCGAAAGCGAACACACAAAACAGATATGTCTCGGACGGTATGAGTCATATAATTATAACCTATTTTCTCTTCGGCGATTTTTAAAGTAGAAAAACTTTCTGCGATATTTTTTTTTATTAGAGAGGTAGGTTTCCTGTCATAGATGTTATAACTTCTACCGACAGAGTAACACAGAACACTGTTGTTAATGAACAACGTAGTTGATGTTTGTGCCCTGGATAATGCACAAGCGGGCCAAAAGAAAAAATTCAGGCGTCGTCCCAAGTCCTTCTTACTTACTTGATACTTGAACGGCCCGTCCTCACTGGTTGTGTAAGCTCCAGTATAATCACCAATTTTCGGAGATTTTTTGGCTAAGCCATTGTGGCTCCCTGGAATCCCGAGGTCAGTCTGGCCAAAGTCTGCCCCAGGTCTTCACCAACACGGGCAGTCGCAGTCCTTGTGGATCAGAAGGAGATTTGCCACCATACGACTTTGATACCAAGATGGTGGTTGATCCTGGTATTGGTTTACTTCCTGATGAAAACCCCAGACTCCTTTCCAGCTTGGGAGACCTTGCCGGGTGGACGAACCTCCCCACTGTACATCGCAGTCCAACACCCAGGAACACCTCCCAGCCAAGATGAAGCGATAAACCATTGGAAGGCCCAAATGGTTCACTTTCGCAAAATTAGTTTTCGTGAAAAAAGAGTTCACTTCCAAATGGAAAAGAATAAAAAGAAGGAAGAAGTCGTTGATTAAAACTACAGCAAAGAACAGCTGTCCAGTTGGCGCGCGTCCATCGACCCCACTAACTACAGTATGACGACGTCTTACCAGGTTCTCAGGAAACTGGCAACACAAAAAGAAACAAACACAAATTATCTATACGGATATGCGAACAATTTGATATCTCAACGTTTTGTTCAACACAATACATTGGTATCTTCAAAATGGGGGAAAAAAAGGACAGGAGGAACGATGAAGTGCGCTAATCATTCAACGATGAAGCAACGATTCGCTCAGTCATAACGAAAAGAGAGATTAAAAAGTGGCCATTCATAAGAAAACGTCCCCACACGTCTAGAATTCAAGTTAGTATCAATCTTCATAGCTCATCGCCATCCACTCTACAATTCATTACTCGCCTTTCAATTGAAACAAGTTCCGCCCCGTGACTAAAGTTTAACAAAAATGATCCTTCAAAAAGCAAACTTCTGTAAGAAAAAACCTTTAAACAAGCGACATAGTGGATTAGAGCTATCCAAAAATATCCGGAATAAGAAAGGAGTCTGCCGTGTAGACCAGACGTACCATGGAATACACATGTCCTCCTTGGTTCGATCCCGCGTCCCTCGCTAACCCACCCTCACTTCCCATTACTTCAATGATAGCGTACTATTATCAGAGTAGTCTGGACGATAAATTTATTGAGTTAATAGAACCACAACTATTCTTTATATTCTTGCTGAGAAGAAGCGAGGTGTTATTTTATTCTTTATCCGAGAACAAGCTGACGTTTCAGCGGATTTCGCCTTCCTCAAAGCCTGGAAAGGTCAAGTTGACCGCAACCTGCCCAGCCAAACACTTCCATAACCAAGAAGAGAAAGTGCTAAACTAACATTTCAATCCCATTAAACACAGACAGCTTCATTGCACACTCACCGCTTTATAACCACAGTTATACCGAAATATTTACGGAACTCCGAAGCGCAAGTGTCTGCGGTGGTGATCACACACGCTATTACCCTTTCTGGGGTTAACGCGTTCACCACCACACATGCTGATCCTTTGTTATGATTTGACAATCAGACCCAGCCATGAAAAAGGAATATGCAGTAAATAAAGAGTGGCTACATTATGATTTATACTATAGCTTCAGCTTAACTAGGTTCAGCCAATTTCTTTTCCCCAAATCAATTCTGTTGACTGATGATTGTCAATGGTACTGGAAGACAGAAAACTGGCTGAAATAAAGGCGAAACGAAAAACCCGCATGGTGTGGCGGTGAACACGATGATCTCCGGAAAGGGTTCTAAGATGTTCTATCCCCACCGTAGACACCTGCCGTTCAGAGTTTTGCAAATATCTCGGCATCGTTATGGTTGTATGTGTCATTACACTGTTGTGAAAAATTGTAGCAGGTACTAAATAAAAGTCAACATTTAGCTGACATATCCTCCGCCCCCGCACCTCGATCCTCGATTTCTACAGTTTTGTGGAATAGGATATATGACGCAACCCCAAAGGACTAATCCATATTGGACGCTATGCACGACCTTTTGTCCGAAACGAAAAGGGATAAAAACGTTATAAACATGTAAAATAACAGCCGTATTGATCAGGAGCTATAACTTTCTAAAGGCTTGACGATTATGAATGCACAGAATATTAACATGAGAAGGTGATACACCCTACCATACTCGTTGTCGATTTGAAAACATATTCTGTCGATGATTCAGGAACGACTGATAAGAACTTAGTCAACCTTCGCAGAAATAGTTCACAGTTACAGATAAGTACAAGTTCATTAATCAATAAAAGTATATGCAAGTGATTTCCCAAACACCTCAAGTCACTCACTCTACTTGGACTTGTCGTAAACCGACCTCAATGAGCATTACCTCTTTAGCAGTAGCACTTCACGAAAATTCGACTTCGTCGGCATATAGGCTTTAATTCAGGTTCGCAATTAGTCTGGGCTAGTTCTTATTCCTCACAGACGAGGTAAAGAGAAAATAGAAAGGTCTACTCTCGTAGTAGGCGGCGAAAATCGTTGGGTAAACACTTCATGGAAGGGCTTGTAGAACACATTCAATAGACACAGTGGAGACATCTATGGTCACGAAAACAGTTTAGATCACTCTGATTAAAAAGGGTGACCTTCGTGAGGCGCTCCAAAGATCTAGCATTTCCAACAGGATTACCAGTAAGGTCATACCAGAGTTGTGAGGGCTATCGACAGGATCAAATAACATTAACAATCAAACAAGATTTGAACAATCATAGCTACTCATAAAGAGGAAGGCAAAGTCTTCTATTAGTCGATCACGCACCAAACTACTTAAGTATTATGGTTATCGAAAAGTTACCAGCACTTTGTGAAAAACTGATTTCGGGAAAAAACGCTAGGCAGATTGACCCAACCATGGCGTTATGAACTTCAACAGACTAACGGAAGCTTTTAATGGGTCGAGCCACTTAATATAATTAGTTAATTAATTTAACTAATTAACCAATCAATTAAGGGAACTAGAAGTAAGTGATACAAGGGATTACGTGATACTAACTGAGATCTACGTATTTAATGTTATGGAAAACCTGCAGAACTCTCATGGAAAATCTAGCACTTTAATGGTTATTTCTCATGAGTTAAAGAACCCGTGTTTTCTTAAGAAAGCTCTCAGAACAACCACAACGTAATACGACATCTAGCAATACCAAGGATTTGGTAGAGTAAAATGTCGCCAAAGAGGCGTGTGCAGCAGTGGTTGGAGGTAGCCTCTAATACTAATATGGGATTGATCGCCGCGCCACAGGTCAACCAAGGCTTTCACCCTCCGGAGTCGGAAAATTGGTATCAGACTTGTTTAGGAGGATACCAGCACTGGCTCAATGCATCGATAGGCCTCCAAGAGTCAATATACAGATCAGATATGCATCCACTAACCTCCAACGATGGTTAAGGAAGTTGAATGCATGACGCATCCCGCAAGGATTGATCAACGCCGACAGCCTTACCCTTTTATCGTTTACTCCTCCAGAAAAGAAGCCCAGTACTCGAAACACCCATTTGTAAAAGGAATGGGTTGGTCAGTCTGCCAGCAATTTCAATCTTTTTCCAGGAACTAAGGAACACTTAGGCTCAGAATACTCACGTCAATTCTGGCTTCAATTTCAGCGCTTGAAGGGATAGAGCTCTTTACCGTCTACCACGACTTCAATGGTCCGAATTGTCCACGATATTACTAGGCTAATAAAATAAGAAAACGCAAAGAAGAAAGTGAAAGACACATGCAGCGACTAGGAACTCGTGATGGATTGATGAAAATCCAGCTACTAGCAGACAAACATACAAGATATCTGTTAAAAAGTAGTACAGCAAGAGCAATTACCAGTAATAAACGTTAGGAATCGATCAACATTCAATGACGTGATATTTGATATACAACAACAAATCGCTGGCGTCATTTCGTGTTTCGGTCGCAGTTGCGGAACATTCAACACTGCCGCCAACCATCGGTGTCGACTTCCTTCTTCAAATATCGATTCGGCATTCGACGTGTACGAATTGAACTTGCCATTTTCTTCTTTAGGAAAACTTACTGGTGCAGATTACTTTCGTGTTTTTATACTTTGTTGCAGCAATCGGTTGGATAAGAGTCGTGAGAAATCACTTTAATGCGCTACTATTTTGTGTCTCTGAAACCCTAAAAGACGTCCGTATTGTTCGGAATTATAATTAGCGCCTTAGAGTTATATATTGCCTCAGTTATGACAAAACTTTGAGGATTGCCAGCTGTGAGTTTGAAAAACCGGACGCAACAAATCGTTCGGTGGGAGTTTTGTGAAGACGAGCCGACATCCAGTCAGTCCACATTACTGGTTCTTGTTTTTTTACAAGTTCTTTGGTCAGTTATTGTTCAGTTTTATACTGTCTCTTTCTTTTTTCCTTTTACATGGCCTATGTAATATGGATGCTTTATTATACTCACCAGTTGACTTTTTTTGCATATTACAAGTGGCGTAGTGGTCGGAGGCGCCCTGCAACACACACGTGGAGTCGATCTCCGCGTCCATGGCCCACCAAGCCCTCCATCCCTCCGGGGTCGGCAAATCGGTACCAGATTTGTCTGAGAGGAAAACAGCACTGGCTCGATTTATCGGTATACCACCGCGAGACATTCTAAAGACCAGGTATGGATTCGATCACCTCAAACGATGCATGACGCATCCCTTAGGGATTAATCAACGCCTAGAGCTTTAGAGCCATAGCTTACGTACTATATACTTGATTATATACTATATTACATTATATTGTGTTGTATTGCATATACCACACAATACTTGTAAGTACGTATATGTACATGCGTACTATTACATAGATTACATGTTAAATTAATAGCTTAAAGTCTTTTTTGACTACCTTAAACCTGGTCTTCTCTTGGTAACCTGAAATTGTTAGATTTTTGTTAACATCGATACAACATCGTTTTTTCTTTAACCCGCACGACATCAGTCAATATCACAATAATTTCACGAGTGTACTGGTATGCCTCCCAACGGTTTACCGCCTCATCGTGGCTGGGAGGTGTTCCTGAGTGTCGGATTGCGATGTACAGCGGGGGAATCGCCCCGGCAGGGTATCCATAGCTAAGGAGTCCGGCGTTTCCATCAGAAAGCCTAGCTAAAAGTAAACCGATACCAGGATCCATCACCGTCCTGCTATCAAAGTCGCATGGTGGTAAATCTCCCTCTGATCCACAAGGGCTGCGACTGCCTGTCGTGGTAACGACCTGGGGCAGACTTTGGCCAGGCTGACCTCATGATTCCAGGGAACCACAATGGCTTAACCAGTAAATTTCCGAAAAATGGTGATTATGCTGGGGCCCGTACAACTAGTGATGATGGGCCATTCAAGTATCAAGTACTGGTATGTGAAATACATCATGGTGAAACATGGAAAAAAAAGTTTGGGAGGCGCAAGACATTCAATTTTTTTTTCAAAAATGAAGACATCGAAGCAGCGAAAGGTGGAAGATGTCACTTTTTGCAAAGAGAAAGTGCGTTCGACGAAGGAAACCAACCATTGTGGAGCTATATTTAGCCCTTCGCTGTAACGGAAGAAAGTACTATGACAACTGGTTTCTTTGCAAAGACTTTAACTGTTAGCTATCTTCTTTTAGGGTTATGTCAGATGAATTCTCTTCATTGTCCGGTTTTGACTATACGATTGATAAAACATGGGATGGGTTACCAGTGGACCACGATCCGATTCACGTTAAAATGAAGTGGCATTTTGCTAAGCAGAGAGGCAAGCCTCACAAAAGGGTGATTAAGATAAACTTCGAGGTATTTCTTTAACATCATCTTAAACGACTCTAAGATAGTGACTAAAATATGCGATTTCAATGTCGCTAACTGATATCTGTTGGTTCTAAGCTCGTTGTTATTTAGCTATTCAGGCTCCTTTGTTTGATGATCCTGAAGCGCCTCCCGATCCTCCAGGGATCCTTCCAGGTGTACGTTGTTACGATCATTTGAGATTCACATTGATTCGGTTACAACTTGAACACTCCATTAACATTCTTATAGAATTTAAAGTTTTGTTTGTTCATTCTTCTTCTTAAGCTATGGGAATACGAAGTGGTCGAGTTCTTTTTTGCAAACAATCGTGACCAGTACATCGAAGTAGAAATTGGTCCACATGGTCACTGGCTATGTATGCTTTTTGATGGGATTCGGAAGCCATTTAATTCAGGCGAGTCCTTTGTTTCCCCAAATCAGATTTTTTTTTTCCAAATTTCCCAAATTTGGTCCCAAAGATGAACAGAAAGATAGACAAAGGTAAAGATTCAAGATAGACATATAGTTGAATTCCAGCGATTAATTTCTTATTACTGATTACTGCAATCGTACAAGTTATAAGGTTCATCTTTAGTCGAGATGTTGATCTGGTAAATGTATGTAGTCGATACCCGGTACTCGGATGGCACGTCCTCACTGGTTGTGCTGGCCCCAGCATAGCTTCCATTTTTCCGGAGTTCTGCTGGTTTAGCTATCTTCTATCCCACCAGAGTCGGCAAATTGGTGCTAGACTAGTCTGAGAGAACATTATCACTGCCTGGATAGATCAGTAGATCACCACGAGTCATTATAGAGACCAGATATGCATTCATTCACCTCAAACGAAGCTTGATGAAGTCGAATGCATGACACATATCTCATGGACTGGCCAACGCCGGGAGCTTTATCCTTTTGTTATCTAGTGAGAGCATGACGAAATATTAGGTAGTTTTAGCTGCTAAGAGCCGGATACGAGCTCCACATTTCATACATTACAAGAACATTCGCGACATAAGGCGCGATTGAAATGGTCTTTCTGCACACCTTGCGAATATGAAAATCACCAACATATCATAATTCAAATGATTTTTGTGCAATTTGTGTTAAGGTGGAATCATCGTTCGTTATCCCACCTTAGAGTGATAGGCCTGAAATGCTTCTAATCGGAAGTTGACTACTTCATAGATCACCTATACACCTGGAGCTGTCCCGTAGCGAGAAGAAGACGTTGTAGGAGATAACAGTGACTTCTAATGTAAAGATGTTATCCTTATATTTCTCGAGAATGGTCGATGTATCCAAAAGTATACCGCGTAACACATCGTACCATTTTCTTATGTCTTGTATAGTACACGACTGTAATGCATTAGTTTTACTACCTTAGCCTAACACATTTGAATATTCAGGAGAAGACCTGGAACTAGAAATAACTAACAAGTTTGTTGGGAATGTCTGGAATTGCGAGTTGGAGATACCGCTTGCTTATCTACCTGGAAGTAAGCATTGTCACTGTTTAGTTCTGGTGTTGTAAATCTTTTCTCTTTATTTTGAGTTCCTTGTCAGTCTAAGATTTATGTGATTAATGCACATTCTATTTGTAATTCCTTGATGTTTTGGTGTTGGCCATTGTTTTTCAAACCTGTGTTACTCTTATTTTAATTTCTGGTCGTTTTTGCACCTGGCAATTGCCCTTAACCAATCTAAGAAATATTTCAGATATAACAAAATTTAATTCTTTTGCAATACATGGCACTGGAAACGAGCGAGTTTATGAAGCCTTTAGCCCTGTAACAGATGGAAACTATGAGGTATTTTTAGTGCGGTTTATTTCTGTATTTACAGCCATGCGCTGTTTCATAAAATAACTGAATAGTCATAATGATGCTGAGATATTTCCAAAACTCCGGAGTTCGTTGTTACTCAGATCAGTCCCGTTGACGATTGATTGCTGATAGCACCTATAAGTGAATAACATGGCTGAGAGAAAGGCGAAGCGAAGAACTTGCATGGTGTGATGCTGAACGCGTTAGCCTACAGCAACGATAATAGCGTGTTCGGTTCCACGCCAGGCGCCAGCGGTCCGGAGTTTTGCAAATATTTTAGCATCATTATAGTTGTATTTCACATAATGCTCTGATATTGAAAAAGTAGTAGGTAATAAGCAAAAATTCATAACTGAAGATTTTATTTGTAGGTGTTCCGATTATGTCAATAACACATTGTATGAACGATTTTAACACCTAAAGGGAACCATCTTTGAAAAAGTGTAGTAATTGAGCCTTACTTTTTCATACTCCCATTTTGTATAGCTTCCTATTATACAGTGCAAATATTAAGAGTAAAAGGGTAGAAACATGTCATTCCTTTGTAACAGGTAAGGAAAACGTCCCAAATATTAGGAGAAACGTGCTTCATTGTTACTATCTAGAGAAGAATCGTCTCTGGTTAGTCGCTAGTTAGTCGACTAGGTTTGAGTTATAATGATGGACTCCATTCATTTGTGTGATTCGTCTGAATATCACTCAATGTGATTTTCCCATCTGCTTTCTGCATTTTTGTTACACTGTTAACTGATCTGTAACGTATTTTCTTTAAGGAGCCTGACTTTCATCGCTTACAGTTCTATGAAAAGATTAATATGCGACGGTTACTGCCGGATGGTTATGGCACGAAACCTTTTATCGACTATAAATACGGAGATATTTGGAAAGATCACTACTGACGTACGTATTGCGATATTTATTTTGAATACGGTTGTACTAACTGTTTCCGTTTACAAATAAACGTTTTGAATTCCCAATGATTTCCTATATAAACAATCAACCTCGTGCAAGCTTATTAAGAAAGAATGCATATTGATTAGTCACACCGAGGTTCAGGGAAAGTCGGTTTCGAAATAGTACTACGCTTTGTGCTAGCTGATAAAACACCGACTTCTGCCCGAGGTCCGGAAGAAATACAGGTTGTTACCACCGGACATTATCATTATATATCCACCATCAGCATCGTGTATAAAAGAGCATCACTGTGTGAGGATGCCTCATTCGAGAAGATGGATCACTGAGGAAGACCTGGCTCGACACGAAGGCGAAGCTACAACGTCGAGACGAACAACAATCATGGACCATCGACTCGGATCATCGGCCCTGAGGAAGACGAAGACGTCGAAACGTTAGCCGAAAATAAATATATTTACCAACCTCGTGCAAGCTTATCAAGAAAGAATGCATATTTTCTATATAGTTGAGCTACCACCGAGGTTGGTGGAAGGTTTTGAATTTCGTTTGATACACAAACATCGATGCAGATCTGCAAGGATCGGATGGCATCAGGTCTTCTACTCTTTTCTTCTTCATTTTTTATTAAATCTGAAAATGTGAGAAACTAGTAGTGAACGCCTGTCAAACAACTTAGCAGTGTCAAATTCTGTGCCAAATGGGGCTTTTTTGTGAGCGATCTTTTAAAATATACAGCTTTTCGAACTGCAAGGGCATTTTATTGTGATGCAGTAGTTTCATTGCGATTTTTGGTGGTGAGAAGAACACATTTAAGAAAGATACTTTGTCTATATTTTGATAGCGTTGGGTTTCTTAGTGCATACGGAAACAGAGGTCTAGAGTCGTTCTCCCCATGTTATTGTTCCATGTCTGCGTTATCTATAAGGAGCAGCACTTCCTATCAAGAAACGTCAATCATCAGGGTTTTGTTCGGCACAAGAAGTACTCGTTAATACCATAAATAGTAGAAAACGAGGGTCTATTTGTCGATTTTTTAAATTCTTGATACGGTGATGATTTGGTTAGTGCAGAAGACATTGGCAGAATTTCCATTACCTGTGTAAGTTTTGTGCTTTCTTTGCAATTTATGCACTTAAATAAATATTCTACTTCGTTGCCAATGATAAGATTTGGGTAATGCCAGGCAGAATCGTCGTGAAGTCAAAACGAACTACGATATTATACTAAGGTAAGAGTTTAGTACTGGAATAGTATTCACTACTCGGTTCGCTTTGCAATCTAATAGAACTAACAAAGTATGTCTGAATTAATGAGGATGGAGTGCAGAGCTAGCCACTCGTTTTATTTTTGCTGGGAAACGGTTATGTTGGTAGACGCGTCCAAGTAGATGAATGGACCTCTTAAAGCAAAATGTATTAGCAGAGTTATGCTCACTCTACAATATTCAGTTACTTCAAATGGTCCAATTTTTAATACCTCTTCTTGTACAACGCGTGTATCGCAGTGATTAGAGGCACCTGGCAATACATGTAGGATCGATTTCCGCAACCCAGGCCCACCAAGGTCCCTTTCATCCCTCCGGGGTCGGCAATTTGGTACCAGAGTTGTCTGAGAGGATAGCAGTACTAACTCGATGCATTGGCAGGCCACAGTGAATCATCGTAAAAATCCGATGTGCATCCAATCACCTCCAAACAATGCTTGATGAAATCGAATGCATGGCGCATCCCCTCAGGGATTGATCGACGCCGAGAGCTTTGTCCTTTTATTATTTATCTTTCTTGCACCATGAGATACTATACTGATGAGCACCACCCTAGGCGAGCGTTTTAGATATGTTCATTCCTTTCTATTGCATTAAATTCTTTTTGAGTTCCTTCGACTACACTAACGGTGATGCTTACGGTATACAGCTAACACATGATTCTGTACTGTTGTATTTGCATATATACATGTATTACTTGCATATTTATACTCGCTTCTATATAATTTTGCGGATCATTCTCATTGAGTGATCTGCGATTGACGAAGTCAGGAGATACACCACAGCTCTCTGAATTGGCTTATTCCTTGGCTATTTACATAAACACATTCATGGATGCTTGCACAGGTGTATTTTCTCGCATGTGGTTTGTCTACAACAAATCAATTTGGAATGGCACGTAGGATAATTCGAAGCTCCTTCTCTTACAAGTTGGACATCTACTTTGGAAGACGACAACGAGATCGGTGTAGGTTCTTTTTTTCGTAAAAAGGACTATCCATGAACGGTCTTGTACTCCTGAGTCGCAATGAGCTTACTCTATTCCGATGTTCGATGAAAGAAATACGGAGATGTTGGCAAAATCTCGGGTCGGTCTAAATATTCTGCCCAAATTTTCACGGACTACGGTAACGATCTGTAGTTACAACGCATACACGCAAGTATCGGAAGACTGTATTAAGAAGTTGACGATGTAGGCTTTGGTGCCTATAAGGTCTTTATTCGTCTCTGTAATGTGCAAAAGTAGTTCAGTAGAAAGGTACAAAGGAGAGGCTTGATAAGTACTGTAATTTTACTCTGCGATTTGGATAAAGAAATCTGGCTATTGGTTTGGTCGTCCTCCTATTCTTTTGACATTCAGTTGAAACCTCCCGTGAAGACCCTTCTCTGGTCGTTTTCGTCTTGGACTCACCACTTGTCTGCCCATCTTATTTTATACATGTTCTCTTATGGAACGCCATACCCAATCTTTCATTTGTCGGCATAAGGCAAACCTCGGATTTTCTATCATCTGAATAGGATGGAACACTCCAAATATCGTCTTATCGAAAGCGTGTTCGATAAAGCTGAATGACATCTCTTCTTATTCACATATTATCCCAGCTTTCCAAATTGTATATCAAGGAAGGAATATTCACTGAGACGAAAGGTAGACACAGAAGCGATGGCTCCTTTTCCTTTTCAGAATATTCTGGATACTCTTGTAAGTTCATAAAGCCACTCGATTGACGATGGACAGACGGCAGGAAGGTTGGATGATAATTGCCGATATTGTGCAGGTCTCTCTGAATTCTGCTAAATGAAACGTAGCGCGTCAAAAGCCGAGCTAGTATGCTAACAAGGATTTGTGGTAGCTTCTCCACATGTTTCGATGTAATCCTGTACGGATTAGACGCTATACGACTTTTCACTGATGAGGTAGGATGTCGGAATTCGGAAGGAAGAACTGTTAGGGTGACGTATTCATCATTCCTGACATGTTAATGAAGCCAAATTGATATGACTGTCAGAGAGATCGGAATAAAACTAGTGAATTACCTTCTCGTTTACCCTTTTAGAACTATTTAGATCCTTTGACTATTCTGTACCACAGAACAAGACCATTCTGCCCTTGCAGCCAACGAACATGCCGAATATTCGCGATAGTTGAAGAACAACATTTTAAAAGCAATGCAACGAAAAAACTAGAGGTAGGGATGAGCTACTGTTAGTGTCTTTTTTGAAGTTTCCATTATCCACTCAGAAATAGGGTATCACAAAATGCGTTAGAAAGAAAGATGGCAGGAGTAAAAAACGAGTAAAGAAAGAAATTTGAGGGGATAAGAAACAGCAAGGAGTTTTGATGTGTACGTTTTATCATAAGAAGATTCTCCTGTCACTGACTACAGTAATCTTCATTAAAAGCTTCGGCGAATTCGTATGCAGTACTTCTGGTTTCTATAATTATATTTGGAATGCTCTCTCTCTCTAGGAAAAACACTAGTAGTAAGTCTTGTCAGTGATCTCATGTGGATTATTTTGCGCAGGAATCATTCCATGACTTACTAAGACATGAAAAAACTGCGGATCATTGCTAATATCGGCTTTGAAATCAGCTGTAGGTTTCGATAACTTGAAATATGATATGTGATGCCGTTGTAAAAAAAAAGTTTATTGTTTACTGTCGACTGTAACCCTGTTGACAATCGAGTAATTCAAGAGCATCTAAATAAACTCAACTTGTGCCGACCTGCCACTCACTAGCACTGCTCGGTTGTTTCTGCTCGTTCAAGGGGCACGAAGAAAATCACAGCTCTAAACGACATCTTCGTAACCGTTTTTTTTTTGTGAAGAAACACCTTGCTCTACTAGCGGCTGAACCATAGGAGTAATTTACAAACGTGAAATCTTTATATCCAGGCGCGGCAGCACAGTGGTAGAAATACCGATGAACAGGCGCAAGAGCATAGCTTCATTCCATGTTGGCTTAACCAAACCTACCACTCTCTCCGATGTCATGGAAGTGGGATTACACTTGTTTGAGAAGAGTGCTCTCATATCAACAAAGACAACTGCATGCGGGTTTTAGACCTAGGAAGCCTTAGCACGAAAAGTCCCCAATGTCAAAGACACTCTTCTCAAAAGGGACTCAAAAGCATTCATGGAAGATCGAAAAGTTGCAAGCAGGATTCGAACCAATACCAAAATAGTCCTCGTGAATGACGGATGAATACGAGGAAATGAATCACATGAAACTGGTGCTGAGATTCACACAATATTTGTTATATCACAGTGAATCGCCATTCTAGATTCTTTGTAGCAAAGAAGAAGAATCTAGTACTAGGCGGTTCTTACCTGAAGTCATTGAAAAAATCAAGAGGGGTTTCTTAACCTCTAATAATAACCCTATTTTGTTTTCCAACTTCTTCACTAACCCCCGTAATTCATCCTTTTCTGTGCATGCTTCCGTTTAAAACACACAACGGCGTAATTCGACCCGCCCCTGGTGAACAAGGCTCGGGATCAGGAACTAGGCATAGAGCTGCCCAGGAAGAGCTCCCTCTGATTCACAAAGACAAGCGACTGCCAGTGGTGAAAACCTGGGAACACTCTAGCAGAATATCCCAGCATTCAAATGAGTTACTGCTTTACCGTTTGCAGGAGCATGTTCATGGGTATCGAATTGCGTGGTACCCAGATAATGAAGACGGTCTTGCGAGCTCGACGCTTTCGTCCAGAATC